ATATCATATCATGCTATACTAAAACTATACTAAAGAAAGAGAAAGAATACATCAGAAGATTTAACAAGAATTAATAAAAAAACCCAGTGACTGACTCCTCAGAGTCCAGCACAGCTGGCTGTGATTAGTCATTAATTAAAAACAATTCACAGCTGGCTGTGATTAGTCATTAATTAAAAACAATTCACATGTGTGGATAAACAATCTCCAGACCACATTCCAGAGCAGCAAAACATGGAGAAGCTGAGGCTTCTCATCTTCTCAGGAGAAGAAATCCTGGCAAAGGGATTTTTCAGAAAATATCACAGTGACAAGATAAGAGACATGAGCTTAAAAATACCATAGAATAAGAAACATTGTTAAGAGAAATAGAACTAAAAACAAGTTTCAAAAGATAGACTTACAAATAAAAATACACTAAATTTCCAAACTTTAGAAAAATAAAACTATGAAAAATACATTCTAATACCCACAAAGAGTAATTTTAAATAATTTACTTTAAAGCATTTACAATATAATGTAACAAAAACTGATAAAAAAACAATTAATAATTCTAATAATATTTATTATAATAGTATTGATAATAACATTGTTTATAAAATATAATATATATATATTATACAATACCACCTAAACCTATGAAGGAGAAGGACTAACTTATGTTCTAAAACTTCTATCTTGTTTTATGTACATTACTGTAATCTAAAACTTTAAACTCTAAGTTTTGTACTATGTGATATTATACACTTCTATTTAAACTACACACTTATAATTTTGGTTCTGTCATTAAATTTTGGAAGTTTTCTCCACGGCCTCAGGTCAAATGCAGTGTTCTCTTGGGGGTCACTGCCTGTGAGCACAGAAAGTCTGAAATTCTCAGCAGCCAGGGTTCCAACAGTGGGCAGAGAGAGGATTTGTATCTTGGTCACCTGCAAAGACTGTGCTACCTTCTCCTCCTTTTATCACAGGAATTTGTGATCCCAGAGGAAGAAGCTGAATGGGTTGGCTTGAGTTTGGAAGAAGCCATAGAAAAACAGAGGCTCCTGGAAAAAAAGGTGATTTCCTGAGGCAGTGCTCAGCACTGAGGTGTTGTGGTGGGAAGGGAAGGGAAGGGAAGGGATGGGATGGGATGGGATGGGATGGGATGGGATGGGATATCTTTGGGAGCTACAGATGCTCCTCATCTGCTCTCAGAACTGGGGAAGCCCCTGAGTGCCCCACACAGTGCCTGCCCTCTCTGAGGGAGGGCTGCAGAGCTGAGCTGCTGCTGTGGCACAGCAGATTGCCTTGTTCAGCCCCTGAATAAAGCCCAGTCACATCTTCCTCTGGTTTTAGCTGCCAGCACTCCCTGGGCTCCCCGTTGCACTTCCCCAGCTGCTGCTCAGGTTCACTCCTTTCACAGGTTTATTCTCTGCTTTGTTGCAGGACCCTGTTCCCTTCTTCAAGGTGTATGCTGAGGAGCTCGTCAGCCAGCTGAGGGAGCAGCAGCAGGCAGTGCAGAAGCAGTAGAAGGAAGAAACCTTGGCAGCAATACCCTGCTGCAGAGAAAGCAGTGGGGTTCAGGGGCTCTGCTGCCTCAACCAGGCTGCTGGGGAAGGGGCCACGTGAAAACCACGTTGCTGAAGTGCCATGAGAGGCTAAATTCAGTGAGGACCTGCTCCTCTGGGCTGAGGAAAGAGTTTCTGTGCTGTGGCTCAGAGATCCACTCACTCTGTGGATCTTGTGCCTGTATAAGCAGTTGGCTGCTGTTGAGAGCCCACCTGTGATACAAAATACACATTTTGGTATCAATAAACTTCTCTCTGATACTTGTTTTATTCATGTGTTGTAGCAGGGATTGAGACACAATGTAACAGATCAATCCCCAGCTTCATCCTCCTGAGGTGGTTGTGCCGCAAAACTGTGACTCCAAACCCCTCAGCTGAGCTCCCTAGCACAGCTTACTAACCCCTGGGTTACAGCCCTGTGTTGTAAGTTTGTGTTTTAAATCTTACTTTGTAATATAAATTTTGTATTTTAAATCTTATTTTGTGGCTGAAGTGGGTGTTGAAGTCTTTGCTGCTGTCTGGCAACAATGGGCTGCAAAGCCCTTGCCATAATGACAGGCTGATGAGCAGCACTGGGAGTCCCTGGTGCTGTGTGGAAGCTTTGTGGTGGTGCAGTGAGTTTCTGGGTGGATCAAAATCAGCCTCTGCCCTTTTCCCCTCAGCTCTGAGGTGAGGGACAAGCACAGAGCCTGCAGGCTGAACCTTGTGTGGCTCATTTCTATGGAAAAGACTTTGCCTTCCCCCTGTCTGGCACATCAGGGCAGGTGCACTGCCTGGTTTGTGATAAGGGCTGGTAAGAGAGAAACTGGGCTTGTAGAGCAGAGTGTGGCTCTGCCCTCTGTGCTGGAATGGAGCAGGACCCCAGGGCAGTGGGGATTGGCAGTGCCTGCAAGGTTTGGGGGAGGAGATGCAGAAGCAGCCGCTGGGTGAGCACAGGGCTGTGCTGGCGCTTGGGTGAGGGAGATGCTGGGGTTGAATGGGATCTAAACAACAGCATTTCATGAAAACCAGACTTCTCTGCTGCTCTTCAGGACAGAGAAGGGGCTGGAGTCCCCATAAGGGGTATTTGAGCCTGCAGAGGAGCCTGGCCCAGGCTGGTAGGGCTGGCTGGGGCTGCCAGGCAGGGCTGTGCTGTTCTTGCAGGGGCACAGGGGGAACAGGCTGGGTGGCAGAAGCTGGGATGTCTCCAGCCTGCCTGTGTGTTCCATCCCCAGCAAGTCCAGGTTCTCAAGAGCAAACTGGCACAGAAGGTCATATTTGCCTAATTAATGACAGTGCAGCTAGGCCAGCACAATGACATTTGGTTATCTTCTCTCTCTGCTGCAACTGAGCTGAGTGGGAAGCTGCTGCCCAGCTCCTCGGGGACCCTGACACTCTGCCCTCGTTAGAGATAATTAGCTGGGACAAGCTCCTTGTTTGACAGCTCTGCTCATCATTAGGGCCAGCTCAGCTCATGCATTTTAATGCAGCTCCCAGCAAAGCTCCAGCCCATGGCTCTGTCCTGGCCCTGCTCTGGAACGGGCCCGGTGCCCCAGAGCTCCTGGGCACTGAGGAGCTGCTGCTCTGTCCCAGGGGTGGCAGGTTCTGGCTCTGTGGAGCTTGTGTGTTCTCCAGGGCTGGACCCTGACTGAGCTGCAGAGCTCTCACTGGGCACCTGCAGGATCTGCTGTCTCAGGGTGACCAGGGGCAGCAGGAGCTTTTGGGGAGAGCTCCTGTCCTGCTGGGGGTGAGGCTCTAAGGGGGGCACTGTGTGAGCACAGCTGGAGCTGCAGGAGGTTCTCTGGGGGAATCTATTTGGAATGTGAATTCTGATTTTCTGTCATCCTGCCTTTGTGGAGAAACCTTTTCCTTGCTCCTTTCCTTGCACCCATGTTGGATGAGGCCCAGAGATGTACTCTCATGGGTTCCTCTGCTGCCTTGAGGGAAACTGCAGCCTCAGGGATGCAGAGTTGGAGCACACAGGGCTGCTGGGCACAGCAGCAGATGTCTCAAGGTGGGGCATGTCCCCTGTGCAGCATTTGGGTCAATTTGGGCTACAAACCCACCCAGCCAGGTGGCCTTGAGGAGGTGGAGGAGCAGCTCAGGGCTCAGTGTTAGTCCTGTCCTGATTTTGCAGCTGGAGAGTTTGGTGCTGCTTGAGGGATGGTTTTCCCTGTTTGGGTGGGCTCAGTGTGGCAGATAATGGTTCCCTTGCTGCCCTGACAGGGGGATCAGAGGAGTTGGTAGTTTGCCATGACAATGTGTTCCTAGGAAGCCACAGATGCCACAAACCCAGGGTTCAATAGGGTGCTGTCAGCTTGAAATTCAAAATCCACCCCTGCCCAGCCCTGCTCAGAGCCCAGCACTGCCTCAGCCTTCTGCAGAGGGCACCAGGCTCTGCTGCTGGCCCAGAGCCAGGCACAGGCACGTGGAGCATGGGGAGGATCCAACAGCAGGCTGGCACGGATGTGACAGCCCCAGCACACTGCCTGAGAGCCCTGCCAGGGTCACCTTGGATCAGGCTGGAATAGCAGTGCTTGGAAAGGGGAATGGTGAAAAATGATCTCATCAAGACAGCAGGGAAAGGATGATGGATGAGAGGCTGGGAGAGGCACGTGTGCTGTGTCAGCCACCAGCACTGGGAAGTGGGACATCAATCCATCTGTTTAATTCATTCCTCAGGTAGCAAAAACATGCCACTCTCTTTAATAGTCCCAGCAATCCACAAATATGAAACTGCTCCTTGAAATATGAAATTTGGGCCCACCATGTTCTAGTTGTGAAGGAACAATCACCCCCAAACCCAACACTGCAAAGTCATAAAGCAGAGAAAAAGGTTAATTGGGAAAAAGCATCCAAGCAGGAAAGGCCTTGGGTGGGATGGCTGGACTAATCCTGCTCTTTGGAACTGCTTGGTTCTGAATTCTGGTGTTTGCTGGTGTCTTAAAGCAACGTTTGTATTTTGCCTGTCTCACTTGTTATTCCCAGCAAGTTGCAGTCACTGATCCAAAAACCAGCATGAGATTAAGGCTCTGCTTCTCAACAAACATTTTCTTACCTGTTTACCTTCATGAATTAAACAGATTTTCCTTGTAAATTCCCAGCAAACCCCTTTGTATTCAAACAAAAGGGATATTTGGGGAGCAATAGCACAAGCAGCATGTCCTTTCTGGCTGGTCTCAGAGGTGAGCCTGCCTTTCCCTCCTGGCTTGGAGGCTCTTGGTTGGAATCACTGTTGCAAAGGAGTGTGACTTTTAGGAGTACTCTGAATCAGCCCAAACTTGGTATCAGCAGAGGTCAAAATGTAGCCTGAAATCATCCCCCATCCTATGGCGTTAATCAAGGAGACATGAGATTTAGAAACTGGCTTGGACAATTCCAGCAAACCCTTTCAAGTATCACTGCAGTGTTTGTTTTCAGATCCACAGGACTCAATTCCTTCCAGACAGCTGGTCTGGGATGCTCAGGCTGTTGGAGGTGGAAGTATGGGCTGTGCTTACCCCCCACAGCTTTGCTCTGTCCCTGGAATTTGCTCTGGGGATCAGGAAATGGCAGCAAATATCCTGGTGGATTTTTACCACGTGAGTGACAAACCATTCTGGATTTTGGGGATCAAGATGGAGCTGGGCTTGGCTCCATCGTGATGAACCAACCTGGCTCTCGTTGCAGGGGGAAGAACAGGAGCCCATGGGTAGTGAGAAACACTGGCTGGGCTTGAGAAAAAACTTCCCCAGGAGGGTGGTGCCGTCTGGGACAGGCCCTGGAAAGGTGGAGGTTTTCAGGACAGGGTGAGGCCCTGGAGCCCTGCTCAGAGCAGGAGCCTGGGCTGAGACCTCCAGAGGTCCTCCCAAGCTCACTGTTCTGTGCTGCAGCTCCTCCCTGCAAGGCAGCCTGAGAGGAGAGGATGAGTGTGAGGAAGAGCAGCTCCAGGTGTTGGCTGGAGGGGAGGCAATCCAGTAGCTCTCCTCCCTCCTCTGGGGCATGGACAGCCACCCTCCTGCCTGGCTCAGTGTGAGCATCCCTGGGGCTGCCAGCCTGGGGTGCTGCTGCCTGTGGCCAGCACAAGGTCCTGGTGGCTCTCCAGGAGTGACCACTGCCTTTTCCAGCCCTGCTGGCTCCTGACACACTGTTTGTCCTGGCCAGGGGACAAGGCATGGCCAGTGAGTCAGGGCAAGGTGGTGGCCTGGTGGTGGGAGGGCTCTCCCTGGGGTGACACCAGCCTGCAGCCAGGCAGGGTCTGATTGAGCCTGAGCAGAGAGGGACAGGGACATTGGGGCTCAGTTGTTACAGTAAGGAGTCATAAGAAAGAAAAAAAAACCCAAAAAACAAACAAAGAAACAACAAGCCAATAAAATCTCCATATGCAAATGAATTGCCAAAAGCTCCCTGCCATGTTCCTGCAGCTGTGGGCTGAGCTGGAGTGGGCACACTGGGCACACAGAACAGGGGCAGTTCCCTCCATTGCCCTCCCCTGCCTCACCCCATGGGCTCAGGGTGGGCTCCTTGGCTGCAGGAGGAGGAGCTGAGGGGAGGGAGTGACCATGGCAGCTCCAGGCTGGCCACAGAGGCCTTTGCCTGGCTGGACTCTGCTGCTCTGAGCATCCCTTGCACACATTTGCAGGCAGCCATTGCCATGGTAACATGGAAATGGTGCTGGCTCAGGCCAGCCAGAGCACTCAGACACAGAAAATGGCATTTCTGAGGTGGGCTCTGCTCACAGGGCCTCTGGGAACCCAGGGAAGGGGCTGCTCTGAGCAGGTCCTTGTGCCCTGGTGCCTCCAGGGATGTGTCCCCCAAGAAGCAGAAGTGGAATGAGGTGGAGGGAGCAAACAAGATGGGACATGATAGGGAAAAGGGAGCAGCGGGAAGGGGATTTCTCTGCCAGTGCTCCAGGCATGGATGGGGCCAGGATTTCTGTGCTTCAGCCAGGTATTTATTCCCATGGAGAGTGCTCGCACATTCCAAGGCGTTTTAATTTCCTTGACAGCCCTTTAAATTCCTCCTGCATGTGTTGTGAGACCCAGGTGGACTTTCCCAGGTGAGTCTCACCTGCCCAGCTGGATGTGAGGTGACTCTGCCCCCACAGCCCATAACTGTCTATGGCTGCTCATTTCATTCCTTACAATGCTGTCCCTTGACTTTTGAGGCTGCTGGAGGACCTGAGCTTGTTAAATCCTTCCCCCTAAAAGTCATGTATGGATTTGGAAGGTTTCAAGGGGTGGAAAGTCTTTACTCCTAACTTTAAGCTGCCTTGCTCCACCTCTGGGAATGGAGCCTTGTCATACTCTGCTCCCAGTGCAGGACTTTGCCATCCATGGGATTTTCTCCTCTTTCTCACACTTTATCCTCTCATTCTATTGAGCTTCAAGTCTTGCTGCAAGGCTTTTCCTCCAGAAGTCATTAGCTGTGATTCTTTCTTTTCATGGCAGTTCTCTACCAGTGTTTTAAAGTGTGGAACCTGTGTGCCAGCACCAAAAATGGAGCGAAATCTTGGATGCAGGGGGTGCAGAGTTGAAATCTCCTTGATCCTGGGATATGCAGAGTTGAAAGTACTGTGAAAATCACTCATACCCAGACCCACTTGTCCTGCTGAGCTCCCTTCTCTACTTTGAATGCTGTGTCACCTTTTATTGGTTTTTTTCCCCCTGTTGTCTGCATGATATGCTGAAGAACAAGGTGAATTAAGGCCTTTGTAGGGCTCTGGGAAAGGTACTTAGTTGGAGGTGTAGGAGCATTGGGGGGTAGCACGGTGGGGATGGACACAGACAAGAGATCTCTGCAGCCAGGGCTGGAACTTGGGGTTTATTGCAAAGGGCCTGGGGGCAGGGCCCTGCTGGGAGCTGCCAGCCACAGCTCAGAGCAGGCCCCAGAGAAGAGAGAGGGAGAGAGGATGAGAGGGTAAGAGAGTAAAAAAGGTAAGAGAGTAAAAGGGTAAGAGAGCAAGGTTCCCGTTCCAATACAATAAATCTTCTTCTGCACTGAATATTCTATTTCTCACTAACCAATCTAGTACAATATACAAATCCTACAGTATTTACATACAGCCTATAAGAATCATTACATTACCATACTGTGTTACATTTTAAACTCTATAAACTCCTCTTTGGGCCCCTTCTGCCAAGCTGTAGGGTCTGCTCTGACCCTTGGGCCTGTCTGCAAGCAGAGGGTGTTGTTCCATCAAAAGGGGATCACCTTCAGCCGGCCACACCATTGTTTTCCAGTTGTTCAGTAACTGAGGTATCTCAAAGCTTGCTTTCATTTCAATCTCGCTTATAATTTCCATATTCTCAAAATCTTTTGCCAGACAATCATATTTATAAGGCTTTCCTGTTCCATCTCCCCCACCAGCAGGGGCTTGTGGAGTCCCTGTGCAGTGGGGAGCAAGGCAGTGGCTCCTCTGCGGGGTAGCAGCAGGTCCCGGGGCAGGAGACGCTGGGAGGTGAGAGGGCCCCGGTAAAGGGAGCCGNAGCCCCTGACGGCCGCGCCGTGCCCAGCTCTCCACCAGGCTGCCCAAGACGTGGAAGCCGCAGCTGTTCAAGCGGCAGTTCTACAGTGAGATCCTGGACGCCACGCTGACCATCACCGTCACCATGCGCACGCTCGACCTCATCGACGCCGCCTACGGCTTCGACTTCTACATCCTCAAGGTACCGATTTCTATATCCTCAGGGTACCGACTTGTACATCCTCAAGGTACCGATTTCTACATCTCCCAGGCTGTGCCCGCAGTGCCCTCAGCCCCAGCTGGCAGGCACCGAGTCCTGGAATTGTGCACAGACAATCCCAGGTTGGAATAGACCCCCAGGGATCAGTCAGGGCAGCTCCTGGCCCTGCACAGACCCCCCCAACACTCCCACCCTGTGCCTGAGCACTGTCCAAGCTCTCCTGGAGCTGTGGCAGCCCCGGGGCTGTGCCCATTGCCTGGGCATCCCTGGGCAGTGCCAGCACCCTCTGGGGGAAGAACCTTTCCCAAAATCCAGCCTGACCCTGCTCTGCCCAGTTCCAGCCATTCCCTGTCCCAGAGCTGCCCCTCAGGAGGAGCTGCAGCCCCCCCTGAGCTCTGCCCTCAATGTCCTCCCTCCAGGCTGAACAACTGCTGCTGTCAGTGCTTTAGCACAGCTCTAATGCTCCCAGCCTTCAATTCCCTCTTGACTGCAGCCCTTGATACAAAAACTCAGAGCTGTGATGAGATTGTCAGAACAAATCCAACAGATCTTTGCCCACGTGTGTCCTGAGAGCCTGTGCTGGCTGTTGGTGAGCTGGCAGTGTCCTGAAGACCAACAGAGTCCTGTGTAACAGCAAACTATTCCAAGAGGGTTTCCCCCCAGGCAGAGGGACAGAGGGGCAGACAGCTGTGTGACACCTTTGCAGACTCCCAGGGCTGACATGTGCTCCAAGCTGGGCATGGACCTGAAGAGGACGATGCTGCTGCGCCTGGCCCGG